GTCATTCATCCGGCGGAGGAGGAGGAGGAGGAGGAGGAGGAGGAGGAGGAGGAGGAGGAGGAGAAGGAGGAGGAGGAGGGGATGGAGCAGGAGGAGGAGGAGGTGGTGGAGGAGGAGGGAGGAGGAGGAGGAGGAGGAGGAGGAGGGCAGGAGGACTCCTCCCCCCCTCTGCCCTGCAGGGGCGCTGGTCCCCGCTCCGACCCCTGGGCCGACGCCGACGCCCGACCCCCCCCCGCCTCGATCCCCCGATCCCTCCCTCGTTCCTCGGTGTCCCCCTCGACCCCCTCGATCCTCGATCCTCCCTCGATCCTCGAGATCCCTCCGTCCTGGACCCCCCGATCCTCGGCCCACCCCCCCTGGCGGAGGAGCCGCAGGGCAGGGATGGGGTTCCCCCCACCGCCCCGCCCCGCAGGGGCGCTGTCCCGCGCCGACCTGGGGCCGAGATAGCGCCACCCCCCCCGCCGCGCGCGGCCGCGGACGGCCTGCCGCCGCCGCGCGCAGGGCGCCGGCGCGCGCTGGCGGCTATGAGCGGCGGCGCTGGCAGAAAGCCGCTCCTCTTGTTCGCTCGCCACGGGGGAGGCTCGGGGGGGAGGAAGAGTACACCTTAGGCGATGCTGAAGAAAACTTGAGTTTTCGGCCAGAGCCTCGAGTATTCTCAACGTTTCAATGTACATCCTAAGTTTTTGCTAGAAATGTTGGGTTTTTATTCAAGATCTGAGACTATGAATTTCTTAACCTATGATTTCTTAAGCATTTCGCAGGGTGTATCAATGTTAGGGGGCCACATGCGAACCCTGCCCCTACCCCACACGATTTCTGAGGGGGAGGGTGGGGTTCACTTTGTGCGAGAGCTCCCGAGCGGAGTGAGCCCCACCCTGCCCCTCAGAAGTCTTGGGGTAAGGGTTATGGTTCGCATGTGGCCCAGTAAATGTCACGCCGCCGCGGGGGGCCCCGGGCCCCATCGGCGTGTTATTCTTTTTTCTTCGTCCGAAAAGGACAGCGCAGATCGACAGTAACCCGCCGATGGGGCCCCCGCGGCAGCGTGACATTGATACTCTTTCGCCCCCCCGAGAAGCGGGTCCTGAGGGACTCGGGTCCTGAGGCTCTTTCGCCGTTTTTGGTGCCCTCGGGCCCTCCACGGGCCCCGGGACTTGTCGGAGAACAGCTCAGCATGGAGATCTCGTCCTTGGGGGAGGCCTCAGGGTCCAGGACCCGTTTCCCTCAGGACCCGTTTCCTTGTGCTAAGTTGGTGACTGTTTTTTGGGGCATCGCTCGGACGTGTGTATTTTTCCTCGGCGAGGACCATCGAGGAGCATCTTGACCATCCTGCGACAACAATGCACGCACGAAGCCGATACATGTACGGGGAATGGACGTCCGAGCGACGGCGAGTTTTTTGATCCCCCCGGCATAGAGCCGCTTCTCCCTTATCAGGCCCCCAGAGACCAGGACACAGATAGACCAGGACACGGAAAACCATGGAAACGACATCTTTTTCTGCAAAGTCACGTTTTTCAGCACCCGTGCATGTTTTGTTTACTGCACTGCAGGATTCGGGTTTGTGTCCGGGTTTAGGGGTGTCTTGCAGGCTTTTGAGGTCTGTGTCCAGATTTATTTTTGAAATGCTGCAGTGCAGTATTTTGTTCGTGCCGTCGTTTGGAAAAATTGGTTTCGAGGGATGTTGGGTGTCCGGGTCTAGCGTGTCCGGGTCTACGGGGCCCTGACCTTAGAGACTCTTTTTACCCCTTGGTCAACTCCACGTAAGCGACTCTTCGCCAGAGTGACTTCTGGTGCGGGCACAGAGGAGGCTCCCAGATGGCCGAGTGCGCTGCGGCAGCAGCGGCTGGCGCGCTCGATTCTGGCCCCCGCGCGCCCCACCGAAAGCCGCGCCCCACCGACCGCCGCGCCCCGCGAAAGCCCCGGAGTCGCTCTTCTGTGCAGCCGAGGCGGCGCCGGCAGAACGCTGCTCCTCTCTTGGAGAACGACGCTTTGATCCCCTGGCGATGACGACGGGCGTGACCGAGGGGGGGCGGGGGGCAGGGGGCTGGGGATGGGGCCAGTCGCGTCACGATGGCGCGCCTGCGCCGCCTGGCAGTGCCCGAGGATGGCTCATTCCCAGACGGCGCCGGCGCGGATGGTGGCGTGACCAGGGGTGGGCGGGGGGTCGGCGCCGGTCACGGGCGTGGTCGCGAGTATTGAAGACTGGCTCCTCCTGCCCTCGTCCTCGCACCTTGGGGAGGCGCCTTCTAGATTCAGCGGGCGAAGACCGGTGTAAAATCAATCGTTCCATCGACCGGGGCGCCTGTCCCAGGGCGGCTGGAAAGTTTATACCCTGACATGCCACCGTGGGGGTATCAACTTTCCCAGCCGCCCTGGGACAGGGGATCTCCAGCGGCGACAAAGTTTATTTCATAGGTTATTGACAGATGGGGGTCCGAGTAGATGGTTTCGGAGGATCGCGTCGCATCGCCGATGCGTTCCCGATGCGTCTCGATGTGGAGCCCGAGCTTCTCTACGCCGACGGCGCCGATGCATAGCCTGGCCGACGGCGCTGATGCATCGACGATGCGGCGGGATCCTCCGACCCCATCTACTCGGACCCCATCTGGGAGGCCTTCGAGATTGCGGCATAAGCACCAGCTTTCGACGTTTTGCTTTTTCGGAGTGTTCCCCGCCTTGGCCTCGTCGCCGTCGTCGCCGTTGTCCCTCTCCTTCTCCCCGATCTCCGACGTCTCGGGTGTTTTTTGTTTTCCCCCCCGGGGTGGGTGGGTGGGGCTTCTGGGGGCGCCCGTGGAGGCTGTCTTCATCGACCTCCTCCTCCCGCTCCTCTTCTCTCCCCTCGGCTCGCTTCAGACCGCGCTGGTGCAGATTCGCGGTGGATGGTGGGGAATCCGGGGGGACCGAAAGTACCCCCAGAACAGACGTGTCCTGGCGAGCGGGCCGCAGGGTCCACCACGGGGCGCCCAACGGCTGCGTTTTGGCGCCCACCGTGGCCGGAATCGCTGTGGGGTGCGTTGTCCCAGGAGTACGTTCGGCCTTTCCGAGGGACTGGTTTCGGGCAGTGGCGAAGCGTCCTGGCTTGCCTATAGGCCCACCAAAGAATGTTCTAAGAACCTTTTGTGGTTTGCGCGAAATGTTCTCAGAACATTTCTGGCTGGGACTGTCTTGCTTCAACGTATCGGCTTCATATTCTTAGAACATTGTTTCTGTTCTTGGAACAGCCTTCTGTTCCAAGAATATTACGTGGTACAGTGGAGACCCATACCCAGAAACACCCTGCTTGCCTCCAGGGTGCCCTCCTGGGTCTCTTGGGTTTCGAGGGTTCTGCTGCGGAAAGCGTGACGCTCCCACGCCAAAAATCAAGGAACGTCCGGAAGGTCTCTTGTGGGGCCCTACTGTGCACACGCCTGAGTACGTGCCTTGCGCGCGCGCGGCACGTACTCAGCATCCTGCCCTGTCCTGTCAAGCCTGGATGTGTGCCGGAAGCCTGGGTCTGTGGATCGCGCGACCGCATCGCAGTGGTCGGCCAACGATCCGCCCGTTGCCCTCTTGGGGCGCTCGCTGTGGTCGGCAGCGCGGTCGGGCGCCTGCGGTACGCCTCCAGGCACGCCGGGACGGCCGGTCCCTGCTCAGTGGTTGCGCCGTGGGCCTGGTCGCCGCTCTTCTCACCACCCACCAAACCACCCCAACCCAACCCGAAGGCTCAGATTTACCCTCGATTTCCAGTGGGGGGGGGTCGGGAAACATTGAAAAAACACATGTGGAACCCTTGCCCCCCCCAAGCCGAAATTCGGGTCTTCGGGTTGGGTTGGGGTGGTCTGGTAGGTCGCCGCTCTGCAGCCCTGCGGGGAGGGGGGCCGTCGCCCCGCCGCGCCCGCGCCCGCGCGGCCGGGCCGATGCTCGCGCGCCCGGCGGGCCTGAGCGCGCTGCAGCGCCGCGCGCGCGCGGCGTGGGCGCGCCGGGCGGAGGGCGCGCCCGCCGCCGCCAGGGCCCCGCGGGGGGCGACGACGACGACCGAGGACCGAGGACGCGGTCTGGCGAAGGGGCTCTACGCTCAGGGATGGCCTGGCCGACCCTTAGCAAGCCGCAGGCCATCCCCTTCCACGACGTGCCCCTCGCCTCGCCGCAGGACGTGCACGCCGGGCGTGGGAAGCAGGTGTTTTTGGAACCCCAGATCCCGATCTGCTTCTAGCGCCTTCCTACTTCAAGAATCGATGCGCTTTTGCGGTGTCTTGTTATTTTTGGGAGGGCCTGGACCCGATCTGCTTTATCCGCCTTCCTTCTCCATGTTGTTACCTGCCTCTTCTGGCCGACGTTTATGTGTGCGGCCCGAGGATGACGTCATGGAAGGGGATGGGCTGCCAGAGTTCGGTTGGGCGCGCCCGCATGGGCCTCCCAGGTGAGCGAGGCAGAGAAGCGCGGTCGTCCGCGCCAACACTGGCGTAAGGTCGCCCGCGCGTAAGGTCGCGCGCGTAAGGTCGCGCGTAAGGTCGCCCGAGAAGGTGAGCCGCCCGCGTAAGGTCGCGCGCAGGCGGTCCCGTTTCCAGCTCAGGCTGCCACGCTGGCGGCCCGCGTAAATCGCGGCGTAAGTTCGGTTCGCTCGGATGGGATCGGAGTGGACGGGGTCGGCGGAGGGGATGGAACACGAGAACAAGACTTATGATGCTCCAGTTTTCTTTAGCCTTGACCGCCAGAAAGAATTTCGAGCACCAAAGAAGGTATCGAAACTGGAGGGTTTTGTTCGACGTTTCGCCAGCGTGTCGGGCAGACACTGTTTCGATACTCTTCTGGGTGCTCGAGATTATCTCTGGAATGTGGTCCTGATGGGGAGCAACATAGAACAAGACGAGAACGGAAGTCCCTGGCAGGGTGGGCTGGGGCCTCTCTTTTGGGGGCTTCTGTTGCCTGCCTCTCGGCTCTGGTGCGCCCCCCAGAGGGCCCCAGGGCGTCAGAGAACGTGTCGGGGCTCAAGAGATGGGGGTCGAATCAAGCGGGGGTCATTCAGAGCGCCGGGTCTTGCAGGATGCTGTAGGGGCCAGGGTGTAGTGACCCGGGCTTTGGGCGCGGGACCCTGCGTGATCCGCAGCTCTTCGCCCCTCTTGGCGCAAGCAGCTGCGCGGCTCTTCCACGGGGCTCCCGCAGCTCCGCTCGCGGCGACGCGCCGCCTCCGCGCCACCTCTTCTCATCCCCCCCGCCACGCCACGCCTTCGGCCGCTCCACCCTGGGCCCCAGGGGCCTGCAGCCGGCTTCGGGCGCGCGGCTCCCGGGGCAGGAGCGCCGGCAGAGGCAGGAGCCCTCGGAGGCCCACGCGGACTTCTCCTGGATCGGCGCGGGGCCCACCCCTGGCGGCGCCGCCGGTGCGCCCCTGGCGCGCCGCGGGGGGACCCCGTGCCGATCCGGGAGAGAGATCCGGTCGGACTTCCCAGCGATCATTCGGCGACTACAAAGGGTACGGTTACGACGGGGTGTGGTTTGCGATCGGCACCGTTGGGACCTGGGGAGCACGACACTGTCCTCGTCGGGCCTCCTCGGGGCGCGGCGGAGGGTTCTGTCGAGGTCTCGACCGCCGCCCCCCAGGGTGCCCCCCAGGGTGCCAGTTGCAAACCACACCCCTCGGAGTCGCCGAGTCATGCTCCAGGCTTATGTCGGGCGTGTCCGATCCCAAAAATAACCCAAAAAGGTCATACAATATTCAAAAAATAGTCCCCAGACTATTTTTAGATTTTTTTTTGGACTATCTTTGGGGTATTTTTTATTTTTCGTCGAAAATCCCCCTGTAGGGGGACAGGCCCGACTTAACTCCAGGCTCTTCTCTTCTTCCACACTCTTCGTCGACCTGGGCACGCGCGCGCGTCGCGCCGGGTCGGGGCTGGCGTTGGCGGCGCCGGCACCCCGGCTGCGGCGGCTGCCCAGGCTGGGCGCGTTGCAGCAGGCAGCGGCGCGAGCCGGCGGGCTGCCGCGCAGGACAGGCGGGCAGGCAGCAGCACGACCGAGAGCATCATGCCTGCAACCAGTACGCATGGGGCAGTGCAAGCAGCGGCGCGAGCGAGGCTTGAGGAAGAAAAAACTGAGTAAACAAAATTGTCAGAGGTCCGTGCAGATTTCTTGGATCTGCGCTGAAAACCGCCCTCGCTTGCGTGTGGAGCGCGCCAGCGGCGGCGCCGGAGGCGCCGCCAGGGCTTCAGCGCCGATCCACGAAATTCGCGCGGAGCTCCGACAGCTTACGCTTATGAGGCGAACACAAGCGGTTTCAGCAACAGCCGCGTGACCAGCATGCCTGGGAGCAGCGCGGAGTGAGGCCCAGTTCTGCGGCCTCTGTGTCTGCATCTGCCAGCCGGTCGTTGGGCTGAAATTTTCACGTGTTGAGTGCACATAACCGCAGGGAGCATTTAAGCACCCCCCCCCCCTTCCGGCAAATCGATAACCTTTCCGCACCCTGGAAGCGTTACCTGGCACCAGGAGCCCTCCTCCTCCTCCTCCTCATCATCCTCCTCCTCCTCCTCCTCCTCCTCCTCCTCTCCTCCACCCACGAACTTCCTCCTGCCCCCTCCTCCTCCTCCTCCTCCTCCTCCTCCTCCTCCTCCTTCCTCCTCCTCCTCCTCTCGCGCCCCCCCCCTTCCCTCGGGGCCCAAGGCCTGTCAGGGCCCAAGTCACCTGGGGTTTCCCCTCTGGGCCTTCTCCTGAGCAGGAGGAGGAGACGAGATGAGGAAGAATCCTAGATAAATCCTTAGGAATCCCTAGGACACCCGCAGGAATAGAACTGGATTGTTTTTTTCGCGTGGCCGGGTGCTAAGATAACGCCACGGTGCGGGGGGGGCGGGATACCCTCTCGTGGACCTCCCCCTAGGACGGCCGATGAAAATCAATTTCTAGAAGGGTTTTGAATGAGAAATCTCTTCCAAGAGGCCAGCAGATCAGAGAGAGAGGAGGAGGAGGAGGAGGAGGAGGAGGAGGAGGAGGAGGAGGAGGAGGAGGAGGAGGAGGAGGAGGAGGAGGAGGAGAGAGGAGGAGGAGGAGGAGGAGGAGGAGAGGAGAAGGAGGAACAAGACAAGGAACATGAACAGGAAAAGGAGGAGAAGCAGGAGCAGGGAAAGCTTCTCAGTTGTCTCAGTTTTCTCAGCTTTCCCAGGTTTCTCAGCTTCCCCAGGTTTCTCAACTTTCCCAGGTTTCTCAGCCTTTCCAGTTGATTCAGAACGGATCGTCGGCAGATTGTCCTGTGTCTTGCCCAGGTCAGATAGGATTCTTGATGAGATGGAAGCGTCGCTCACAAGTCTGAAGCACTGGAAGGAGAGGAGGAGATGGAGGAGGAGGAGGAGGAGGAAGAGAAGGAGGAGAACGAATGTTTAGGAATCTCTAGGCATCCTCAGGAATCCTGAGGACCCTGTAGGAATCCTTAGGAATCCTAGCATTCATGAGGAATCCCTTGGAATTTCAGACGAGCCCTTGGGAATTTAAAGGAGTCTTATGGAATTCTGAGGAATCCACAGAAAGCTTTAAGAAGGCGCAGGAATCGTAAGGGAATCCTTAAGAATCCTTGGTAAATCCTTAGGAATCCCTAGGACACCCGCAGGAATAGAACTGGAGTGTTTTTTCGCGTGGCCGGGTGCTAAGATAACGCCGCGGTGCGGTGGGGGGCGGGATACCCTCTCGTGGACTTTCCCCTAGGACGGCCGATGAAAATCAATTTCTAGAAGGGTTTTGAATGAGAAATCTCTTCCAAGAGGCCAGCATATCAGAAGAGAGAACAGGAGGAGGAGGAGGAGAATGAGGAGGAGGTGTGAAACGCAGGGTGGATTGCCTGATGCAGTGAGTGAGGGATAGCACGAATGCCCGCTGCCGCTGCCATTTCAGATCAACTCATAGTAGGCTTTCAGGAGTCACGTGCCCGGGGCTCGCGCGTGTGTGGAAAGTCTCAGGGCACGAGTCGATCTTCATCGAGCAGGCTCCGGGCGGAGCCAGAGAAGGAAGCAGTGGGATTCGCATTGATCTTGAGCCAAGTCGAGTCTTCCAGCGAGGACGATGGCGGCCAGGACGAATGCCGAGGGGAGTCAGTCAAGCGGACAGTGGCGTCGCTTGTCTGGCAGCGGCAACGACGCGGCGACGGAGTACAAGAGCTGGAAGCGCTGGATCGGAGCCAAGCTGGCCGTGGAGGTCAGGCGTGGCTTGCCGCCAGAGGCGGTCGGACCGCTGGTGCTGACGCTCTTGGACGACGAGGCGGAGAAGGCCTGCGAGCACCTGGAGCTCGCGGACCTGGAGCAAGAGCACGGGGAGATGGCCCTCTTCCGCGCTCTTGATGAGTGGTTTCCTGACAAGGAGGCCAGTGACAGGATCGGAGACGCCCTCGAGAGCGTGTTCGGACTCACCATCGAGCGGGGAGAGACCTCGTCGGCGTATACGGGACGAGCTCGCACCGTCTTCGCGAAGGCGAGGAAGGAAGGAGTTGAGCTACCTCCGGTGGCACAAGGGTTCCTGCTCCTGAGAGGGGCAAGGCTCGGCATGGAGCGCCGCGCTGTAGTGCTGGCGGCGAGTCAGCGTCAGTGGGACTTCGCGGCGATGTCGGCGGCGATTCGGACAGCGTACCCGAAGCAGATGCCGACGGCCAACGTGCACGAGGCGATTCCGGAGGAGGACGAGTGGATGGAGCAGTCTTCGGAGCCGTGGGCACCTGCGGCGGAGACAGAGACGGCATCGGTCCCAGACAGCGTCGAGGCGGAGATCAACGAGCTGTTGCACGAGGACGGCCCCATCGACGAGGAAGACGCGATCGACATATTGGCTACGTGGAAGGAGACGAGGACAGCAATGACGAGAGAGAAGTTGCAGAGAGGTTTGCCCTCCAAGGAGAACTACAGACGACTCACGGACCGAAACAGGTGTTTTCTGTGTAGACAGGTTGGCCACTTCAGCAAGTACTGCCCCAACCGAAAAGGACAGCAGACACCACCGAGTGGCCAGAGACGACCAGGTGGTTTCATGAAGCGCGCGTACCCGTCCAAGCCAGTGATCCAGGGAGCCGTGCAGGTGATGATGGTGCGTGAGGGCGATCTGGAGGTTCACTACGCGATGGGCGACATCTGGAGCGAGGTGGGCATCCTGCTGGCGTCATGGTCGAAGGACGGCAAGGCGTCGCTGATCACGAAGCTGACGAACGAGGAGCGCTTCCGACGGCTGGCTCGTGAGCGTCGAGATCACGACCGGGAGGCAGATCAGGGCGAGATCGAGGAGGCGAACGACGAGGAGCCAGAGGCTGAAGTGTGTGCGTGCCACGCCCCCGGGTGTGGAGCGCTGGACTCAGGGTGTGGCATGGCCCTGATTGGCACGGAGACGCTGAAGAAGCACACCGAGGCGACGGGCATCGAGCCTGAGTGGGAGAAGGACGTGGCGAGCATCAGGTTCAAGAGCTACGATGGCAAGCTGAGACGATCCCAGGAGGCTTGCTGGATCCAGTGGCTGTTCCCTGAGGTGAACCGGCGGGTGAAGATCCTCTGCTACGTGATTGAGGGATCTGCCGGGCTCCTGATCAGTAAGCCCGTGATGAAGATGCTGCAGGCGACTCTCGACATGGCGGAGAACCAGCTCCACCTCAAGCGTCTTGGAGTCAGCGTACTTGTACGTGAAGCAGAGGGCAGTGGACACTTCGAGGTCGACCTGCTGGGGAGGACGTTCAAGAATCTGAAGATCCCAGACGCGTCGGTGGACGACTCGAAGCTGAAGATCGAGAAGCTGGACGACCATTTTCAGTAGGGCCGGGCCGGCGCCCTGAGGCCAATGAGGACGTGGAGATTCTCAGCGTTCGGGTTCCAGGCGTGATGGGGATTTTCTCACCACCACGGGTTGCTCCGGTGGCCCCACAGTACGGCATGGCGGACATGGGCTCGTTCGATAAGGTGAATGGCTGGGACGCCCGGGCCCCCGGGGACCTGAAGGACTTGTGGGGCCGAATCGAAACTGAGGAGCCCGAGTGGATCATCATGGTACCTCCCTGCGAAAGAGCTAACGGCCCTCCAGAATATGACCCCGGACAGTAAACGAGTCGACCTGGCAGAACATCTTCGGGAAGTTCTAGAAGCTAAGAGGTACGTTTTCGAGTGTGTTGGGATTGCAGAATACCAGATGTCCAAGGGGCGGCGCTTCCTCTTCGAGGCTCCTCCGACGGCTACGACCTACAACCTACGCCCCATGAAACGACTCCTGCAGAATCGAAAGGTTTTCACGGGGATTACCAGTGGGTGCCGAGTGGGTCTCCGACATCCGATTTCAGGACTCCTGAGCAAGCGCTGGAAGTTCGTTTCATCCTCGCCTGAGGCCGCTCGTGAGCTGACGCTCCCGTGCTGTGGCGGCCATGCACATGTTAGGACCGAGGGCGGGAGCCCGCTACCGGGACTCGGTATGTCTCTTCCCAGGTACACCCAGATCTATCCGACGAAACTGGTTCGTAAGATCCTTCAAGGTTTTTCCAAGGCAAATGTGATCCGGGACGGCGGGGGGGAGGCGGTGGTGCATGCTGTGGAGGACGAGGGCGAGGGCGGAGGTAAGGGGGTCCCGAGACGACCCCAGAGTTTTCAAGCAGCCTTCCGACGGCTACACGTAAATTTGGGACATGCGACGGTGGCGACGGTGATCCGACACTTACGACATGCGAACGCGAGTTCCGAGGCCATCCGACAGGCGGCGAACTTTTACTGTGATGAGTGTGCATCTCGGAAACGACCCGGCATTGCTAGGTATAGCTCCCCTCCGACTCTACAACCACATCTGAAGATGGTGCGCATGGATGTGAAAGAGCTTCCCTACTATATTCCTGGTGAGCGTCGGAAGTGTCTAAATATGGTGTGTGATGCTTCGTCGTTCCACGTGATGGCCCCGTTCCGGGAAGGTGAGACCGAGTCCTCCTATGTACTTTTGCGCGCGTATCGTGACAACTGGACTCGGCCTCTCATGAGGCCCAAGTGGCTGAAGGTAGATGCTGGCAGTGCGAACATCTCGGTAGTGTTTCAGGATGCCATGGACAGGGACGGGACGATCATCGTAGACACGGCAGGCACAGCTAAGGAACATAATGGGAAGGCAGAGGTGCACGGTAAGTGGTTTGAAGAGATGCTTCAGGCCATGCTAGACGAGCTTCAACCTCAGGACGAGGAGGAGTGGCTCGAGTGCGTTGCTCAGCTCCAAGAAGCAAAGAACTCGATGTTGAATGTTGGAGGCGTTTCACCATGTCAGATCGTTTTTGGCCGAAATCCAGAAGTTCCCCAGGATTTGCTTCAGGAGAACCCGAATTTGATTGCCAACAGCTGCCTGCTGCGTGACCCTGTGGCTGCTCGTGCGGCCTGCGTCCGTGCGATGGCTCGCCGTGTGATTTTAGCGCATAACGAGAAGAAAGCTGCTCGCGTAGCACTGGATGCTCGACCCCGGGTCCATCGAGTTTATCAGGCTGGGGATATGGTTGCAGTCTGGAGAAAAATGAAGGGAGCTATCGCCAGAAAACAGTCCTCTTATCGATGGCGTCC